ATGAGTATGGGAGAGATAGTTTGCCACGCTACCAAACCAACTGGTATTCAAGTTCAACCATACTCTAGCTAGAAGTTATGAGTCTTTTGACAGACCATACACAAGAAGTGTTGATAAGTAGTCGGATCTACTATAATCATTAAATTGCTGGTTCTCTTCTCAAGCATCATACATTGTATGTCCTTTCTACTTTTTTGCTTCAATGAATTATGTCGTTGCCTTCGGAAGAAAAAAATGTGCATGTGGCTTGGGGATTCTCATGCAAGTTCGGAAAAGTGATTCATTGCCCATATAGTACTTGCTGATTACCAGATAAGAAATTTATTGCATGCAGACAACATGGATGAAATCCCAAATTCTTTGGTTCTCTTCTCATAGAGCAATTTTTGTTGAGGAGTTAAAAGAAAAACAAATGAAAGAATAAGTAAGAGTTCAACATGATTAAGGGTGTTTATTTTAAATTGCAAAAACTCCCTTAGTTGCTTCCATGGTTCCTTACAAGTTTTGGGTAGAAGCTTTTCTTTTTACACTTTCATTTCTTGTTAATCCTAAACCTTAACCATCTCTATCCTTTACTTCCCTACCACATTCCTCAACATCTTCCCACCAACAACTTCATTCACCTACCTCTACCTAACCTTTACAGACTCAACAACCAACTCTATCACCTTGACCACAACTCATTCCTCAAAGACAAATCACCACAAATTCCCATCATATGGTTACAAGATCCAAAGTTGGCTTCTTCAAACCCAAAGCTATTTCTACCACAAAGCATCCAATTGATCCTCAAAGTTTGGTGCCTACGATTTATAAGCAAGCCTCCAAGCATGATCATTGGAACAAGGCGAAGAATTACAAGCACTCAAATTAACAAGAACTCGGACACTCTATCTCCTCATCAAAACTTGGTTGGCTACAAAGGGTTCTTTAGAATTATAAATATATATATGATGGCACCAACGATAGATACAAGACCAAACTTGCAGCCAAAGGTTTTCACCAACAAGAGGAAATTGATTTCAAGGAGACTTTTAGCCCTGTTGCAAAGCTAGTCACAATCAGGATCTTATAAACACTTGCAGGACAATATAATTGGTTTCTGAATCAGCTTGACATTAATAATGCCTTTCTTTATGATAATGTCAAAGAAGAAGTCTTAATGCAGCAACCTCTAGAATTCATTGATTCATCTCAGCCATCTTTTGTCTACAAGTTGAACAAGTCTCTCTATGGCTTAAAACAAGCTTCCAGCGCCTGGTAGGACATGTTATTTCACACTTTACTCTTTCTTGGTTTCTTAAACATTCAATCTAATTATTCTATGTTTATGAAACTTGAACCCTCTCCTATGATAGTCTTGGTTTATGTTGATGATATATTAGTCACTAGTCCAAATGCTTCTCTCTATCAAGATTTTATAGAGCAACTCAGTTCTTTATTTCTTGTCAAGCAATTGGGACCTCTACACTATTTTCTTGGTTTACAGGTACAAAGACCAACTGAGAGTGTCTTTTTCTCTCAAAGTAAATATGCTTGGATCTTCTTGTTAAGACACACATGGAAGGTTGTAAACATTGTACTGGTTCTCTTGGTACCTATAAATTGGATCACGCTGGCACTTTATTGTCTAATCCAAAGGAATATAGATCAAAAGTAAGGGCTTTTCAATATCTAACTTGGACTAGACTACATCTTTCCTTTGCAATGAATCAAGTATGTCAGTTTCTCCATTATGTAAGGGATTCCGACTTTCAAGCTATGAAAAGAATCTTGAGATTTTTAAAAGGTGTTGTTGATTAAGGCTTGTGGTTCAATAAAAGCCCTTTGCATCTCACTGCCTTCTTTGATATTTAAGTAGCAATCTCATTAGTTGGAGTGCAAAAAAAAGCACACATTGTTGCTCGTTCTTCAACATACGATGAATATAAGTCTCTAGCTCATTTTGTTGTTGAACTCACATGGATTTGCAAGATTTTTATAGATATTGCCTTCCCTCTTACTCAAATTCCCAAGTGTAGGTGTGATAATGCATCTGCAATCTCATTGGCATCTAATATTGTGTTTCATGCTTGTACGAAACATGTGGAAATTGATTACCATTAAATTAAGGAGCTTGTTCTTGCCAATTTGCTCAGGGTTTAGTATGTTTGCACTTAACATCAACTGTCAAATATTCATACAAAGCCTCTGCCCAAAGCAAGATTTCAGTATGTTCAATCGAAGCTGTCACTTAACTCTCCACCGTTTAGCTTAAGGGGGTGTAAAAGGACAACTCTGTAAGATCACGTATTATGAAAAAATATATATTTATTATATTAATTTTATATCTATCTTTACATATTTTATTGCATATTATTCATAATTACTTAACCTAAACCGTGACATATATCTATGTATTATATTATTATATTATTTTTATTGGTTGACAAGTTTACTTGGCAACTACTTTTCCTAGGTTAATTAGTGTTTTTATAGCTAGATGAAAAGTGGACTCTTGTTTGCATAAGCTGGAGGATGAGGCTTTATTTCGGTATTATTATATATGTTGATTTGTGGATTATTCGGAAATGTTCATGAAGCACGAGAATTTCAGTGTTGGGATATCCGAGGGATAAATGTATGGCACACGGGGACATTAGGATGGAATGGCCAATTTAGAGGTCATGTAGTGAGCTACATATTATGAAGGATAACCAACATGTGAAAGAACGATGTGATATGGCATGATATGTGATGAAGACTTTGAGATTATTATATTATGTTAGAATGTGAGTAAAACAGCACGCTTGACTGACATCTTACACATTCTATTCATTGAACGATGGTGGTTGTTGCTCACCCCTTACCTTTTATTTTACAAATGAGTTATTTGGCAAGATAGGTGTTAGACTGATAGAAGCATATTTATGGGACTTAATTAGCTTGTTTCTTTGTATTTAGTAAGTTATTTTCTATTTATTATAGTGTTTTAAGCTATTTTCGTGTGTTTGTAGGTTTAAATGACAAAGTTGGCAAGAAAGTGCAATTTGGTGCTATTTGGAGCAGTTTTGGGCTTGGAATGGATTGCATATGCATGGAGCAAGGTGGATGGATGAATTTGAAGATCAGGAGAGGCTAGGAATGTGATTAACATCTAGAAGAATTAAATCAAAGACTTGGAAGATAAGGAATCAGCTACAAAGAAGGAATATTATCCAAATTACCTTATCTTATCCAAACCTTATCTTATCTTTTCCTACCTTAATTCCAGCTTCAAAGAGGACTCCTTTTCACATTAAATCACCTACATATCAAGTTCTAGAAGCCCTATTTTCGTGCCCTAAGTTTATGCCACATGTAACCCTTCTAGAAGTTCTAGAATCTGCCACAAGGACCATTCCTTGTCCTCCTTGGAATCTGATTGAATGTGTCCTTGTTCGTTGGTGATTTGGAGTCCTAATTCCTCTCATTTTCAGCCCAATTTTGTGCCTTTCCTTCACCCTATAAATACATGATGCCGCAACACTCATAAACCACCACCCTCTACCACAATTTCACACCATACCTCAAGAGCCTAAATTCACACAAATCCCCATTGTGCGTAGCAAGGAAGGAAGGAGGAGCCACCTGGAGTGTTTCTAGGTGTATTCTATCTTTGTTTTTAATGTTTAAGTTTAATTATCTTTGTTTTGTAACCATGAGGAGCTAAACTTGTTTTAGCTAGAGGAGACATTGAAACCATGAATATATTTGTAATATGAATTGATTACTTTCAGTTGTGATTTCATAAATCGTGAATACAATTTACTTAATTGTTTGATTAAAAACTTATTCTTGTGTGTTGATTAAGAGGGCCCGCTTAGTTTGCATGCATGAATTTGATGCTAAAATATAAGAGAGTTTCACCTAATCGTTATGAACTTATATTTATAAGTAGTGGAGGTTGCTAGTCACAATTGTATTAAGTAAATTCTTGGCAGGAGTGTCATGCTGTTCATAGTTACGAATGCCTTGTCAATGTTTATGATTTTCACAAAACTTAATGATCTTTGATTGTATCTCTATTATGTTGTTCATGTGGGGAACTATTGAAGAATAATTTGGTTGCCGATGCGTATTCCATCCAATTCAATGACTTAAGGAAAATATGAGGGTTAATTAGTGCTGTTCACGGTTAATCTGGGGTGTTGAGGTTCATGGTCTATTGGAAAAGCAACTGGAAATCAATTTGTATGCAAGTGTGTCATGTGTGGATGCAAGTGTGTAATGTGTGGAGAATGACCCTCTAGCTAGCTTATCACCCATATTTTTCCCCAATTTCGTCCAAGTTGTTTAGAGACTTTACAATATGCTTGTTTTTACCTTAATTTCGTCCAAAATCCAATCCCCCTTCACTTGGTTGTGTCTTTTAGTTAGAATCTGTCCAAATTTATGCTTTTAAGTATTTTGAGTCAAAACTAAGTTAGAATTCGTCCAAATCACCTTTTAGAGTCTAGTTTAAGTCTATTTGATTGTTTTTGTGATGTTTTGAGTCTTTTTAGTTTGTTTTGAGTCATATAAGTCTAGTTAAGTGTTTTTAAGTTTTGTTTTGTGTTTTAAATCAGTTTAGAGTAGATTAGCATCCCTTCTAGTCACCGGCCTAAAACAATCCCTACTTTCATATACTATTACAATTATAAAGTTTTAATTTGAGTGTTATAATATTTCACATCATAGACGAGCTGAGGTTGAGTTAGAGAATTTAAGAGTTTTTATCTATTAATTTTTTTCCTTTATTTAATCTAACGATCAGAAAAGAAAAAAAAAATATGATGTTCCGAAATCAGTTCCTTGAAAAATTTGTTGCACGCATAATATTCTTTGATTTCAATAGGGATTATCATTCTTTTCGGGTCAGGAAGAGCCTCCAGTAAAACGGTTCCAAGAGTTCCGCCAACCAATATTCATCAGCCAAAATGCACGGAACGCAAATCAATTATCCATCGGTACTGGTCTTTCCACGTACACAAAACTGGCACGTGCAGAATCTTTCACCGAGAGGGCACATCAGTTAGTCGCACGTACGAAACACTTCCTATATGAACACGGACTAACCAGGAAAATTGGAACGCGCAGAAGCTGCTGCTGATAAGGGAAGGAACCTTCCCTCGCTCGTCGGAGTAATCCCAATTTTAAGGTTCCAAATATCTCTCTTATTTATTTATTTATTTATTTTCTCAGTATTTAAATTTTATTTGGATTTTATTTACTTTTCTATATTCAGATTGTTTGAAGTTCCCCATTGAATATTGGGATTTTTTTGGTTTTTCATTTGGGTCGCAAAGTAGTTTACTGCGACTACTTAACTTATATTATCTGTTTGGCTGCCGAGAAAATTTTAGGAGATGCCTAGAAAGTTGAAATTTTTGAATTATTGTTTTCGTGTTTAAAAAATCAAAATTCGTTAAGACGATCCCATCCCATTCCCACAACATTGTGTGAGGATGTTATTAACTGGAAAACTAATATAAGATTAAGTTAGATTCTTAATTTATAATTTGATATTATCTGTTTGGCTGCCGAGAAAGTCGAAATTTTTTAATAATTGTTTCTGTGTTTAAAAAATCAGAATTCACTACGACGATCCCATTCCCACAACATTGTGTGAGGATGTCATTAACTGGAAAACTAATCTAATATTAAGTTAGATTTCTTAATTTATAATTTGATGAGTTTTCTTCTCCTTCATCATTTCAGTAACCGAACAGAAATCTGCCGAATAGTGTAGAGAAAGGGGGAACTTGGGTTAAGGAGAATTCCATTATTTGTCAGTGGTCATGCCGTACCGGGTTCGTGAAAATCTATACATTGGCAACATCGGTGATGCAGCAGAGATTCTCCAAAATGGTAGCACAGAGATCACGCATATTCTATCAGTTCTTAGTTCAGCGTCAATATCGTTTTTCTCTGAATGGAAGGGTCTAACAATTCCCACAAAGGAAATCAAGAAGGTCTATGCTGGCGGGTCTGGTGGTGCCTCAGCTTCTGAGGATGATTCCGGTGACAGGAAAAAGGGTTGTTTGGTGTCCGATAAGCTTCTGTACTTGTTGGAATACGCAGGCAAGGATTTGAAGCTGGTGAGGATGGGGGTTCCACTGAGAGATACGGAGAATGAAGATTTGTTGGATTATTTGGACGTGTGTTTTGATTTTATCGATAGGAGTAGAAAAGAGGGGTCTGTTTTGGTCCATTGCTTTGCTGGTGTGTCTAGAAGGTACGTGTTTTTTTAACCCTTTGTCGTTTTTGTGTTTACTTTTATACTGGTTCTGGTTAATACTTTCAATCAGCTTGATTACCAGAATTGAACTTAGCCACAGTTAGCTCTATGTTGGTATTCATTCAGCTTCATTCTACGAAGAACAAGGTTTTGTTTAAAGATATTTGTCCTCTTACTGAAGGTTATGCAAATCCATTTCTTATAGCAAATCCACAATTGTTGAATGCGGACGATCAATTATCTTTAAACCCTTCATGAGGCTGAAACACCATGTGAATATTTTTTTTAAGAAACTAATAAGTCTACCCTGCTTTTACCACGTATCTTTTAATTCTATTTTTTGCTTGTTGGGACTTCTTTTTTGCGTTTTCTTTTTCTTCAACATGCAATTTTTATTAGAGAAGTTAACAATTAGAGCTGTGCACAATTCTGCTAACATATATCTGAAAATTGTCGAAAAAAGCCCACATTCTATTAGCTTTTCAAGTTTTCTGAATTCTCAAATTCATACGGTTTACAACCTTCTTTGCATGTGTCCGTTGCAGTGCAGCTATCATTACAGCATATCTGATGAGAACAGAAAATCTATCACAAGAAGGTGTGAACAAACCATGGCTTTAAGTATTCTTTGTCTTGACACGTAACCATTTGCAACTGTTGTGTTTTTTGAAATCCAAATAGCTCTCTGTTGGTGATAAAAATAGTTTTGACATGCATATATTACTTTAAAAGTATATAAAAATTTCTAAGCAATTGAATTGGGCAAAAGGTAGAGTCAGGTTACTGATGCTTAACTGCTACAGTCTTAACCCCTTTCTTCCCTCTTATGCATTCCTACAGATGCACTAAAATCCCTGAGACAAAGCTGTGAGTTTGTTTGCCCCAATGACGGTTTTCTTGATCAGGTGATGCAAGGCAGTCTTATAACACGTTTTATACTAGATAACATCACTTTCTGCTATGCTCATTTGCAATTGGCCCGTAATGAATTTTACTCTTCTATTTGATCCTGTCGCAGCTCAAAATGTACGAGGAAATGGGCTTCAAGGTTGATTGTGCCAGCCCCATATACAGGTCTTTTCGCCTGAAAGTATTGGGTACACTATTTTCTTGTTCTTTACGTTGCCTTCTCTTAATGGTCTATCCAATAAATAGGGCTTACTTATCCCCCTCCCCCTCCCCCCTTCTTCTCCTCCCCCTCTTTTTCCTTATGTCCCACATCATCTATCTTATGAAGGGATATTGATTGATACATTATTGTTTCATATTTTAAATTTTAACGAGTCCCATGTGAAATAGTGACTAGGCTATAATTCTTGCGTTGTAACTTACAAGCATTGTCATATTATGGCTTTTCTCAAGTGTTATGTTAAACTCATAAAAATTTATTGTTAGAAAGATACTAAGGAGCATTGCCTTACCAAATTGGTTGTGTACGGTTATTGCCTTTCCTTGTTTTTTTACGAGTTGAAAGCAATACATTTCATCATGGGGTGGGTAATTAATCCAAATTTAAGTTTTAACCGTCATATGTTTAAAGAAAAAATTTCAGAGAGAAGTGGATCAAGTTTTTTCAAATGATAAAAACTGGAAGTTCAGGATGTATTTTTAAATAATTAATCATATTAAGCTTTATCGGTCATAGGTTAAAAGAAAAATTCCAGAGTGAAGTGGATCAAGTTTTTTCAGATGATAAATACTGGAAGTTCAGGATGTATTTTTGAATACTAGCGTAAAAACTTCTGAAATGCTGCTACCGTACCCATGATCTCTAACCGAAAATGTCTTGTACCCTCATCTACCACCTAAACTATTAACAGAAGAAAAGAAATATTTAGTGGAACAGCGATGACACCTTGGGAAGGAATAGCAAGGCAGTTTTCTTTATGTTCGTTCACTATTTGCATTGTTTGTCTCAGCATAGGAGATGTTATTTTAGGTGGTGTTTTCAAATTTATTGGCAAATGTGAATTTCTGTTTTGCTGCTATAATTGAAAATTTGTTCCTTCCTTTCAGGTGAATCTTATCATCGTGGGGATAGAATAGACAGTTCTAAATTTGGAGCAGATCCTGGGGTGGCTGGTGAAGTTGCCTCTGGAGTGGAAGCAGCTTCGAATGAAGGAAAAACTGTTACACCAGCTTTCCGCTGCAAGAAATGCCGAAGAGTTGTTGCATTGCGGGACAATGTTGTGGATCACATTCCAGGTGAGGGAGAGCAATCCTTCGGGTGGCGCAAGCGAAAAAGTAGCAACTCATACAACAAGTATGAGGATTCTGATTCTGAATGTTCATCCATTTTTGTTGAGCCTCTAAAGTGGATGACGGCTGGTAAACTTACACCTCTATTGTCATTTGATTAATTTGAATGTAGAATTGGATCGTGCCATTTTTATAACTGTATGACCTACCTTTTACATGGCCATAATAGTTAATTAAGCAAGCAGTAGATCTCTGTCGTTGAAGAGGATTACCTGGTTTCATTAATTTGATTATTTTGACCTAATGCCATAAATGTTACACTTGTTTGACTCTGATATTATATTAATCAAATTATAGCTTAAGATTTAATTAATTGTGAATTAATTTTTTTATTTAATTGCTGTTGGCATCTTCTTCTTTAGCGTGATTTCGCTTATTCTTGGTTCTCTCATTACACAGTCGAAGAGGGTGCAATGGAGGGAAAGTTGTCCTGTGTGCATTGCGAAGCTCGTTTGGGTTACTTCGGTTGGGCAGGCACCCAATGCAGTTGCGGAAGCTGGATCACCCCTGCCTTCCAGCTCCACAAAAGCCGAGTTGACGTCAGCACCATCTAATCTGTCAAAGAAAAGCAGCAGAAGGGGTCCAATACCTACCTTTCCAAGGAACATTTACAACTTTAGAAGTGCCAGAATGCCATTTAACATGGTATAAAATTTCCGAGAAAATCAGCTATCCACGCAGGAAAAGGAGTCTTTGAGTTGTACTGAGGTTGAAATTGAGCAGCCGCAGCAAGAAAAAAATGCAGTGTTGATCTGTGTCTTATATAAGATTTTGGAGATTCGGGTTTTGTTTTTCGTTCTTTCCTACGCAAGCTCAGTTGGGTAACTGAAAATGTTGTCATGGAGGTATATTTGGCATGATTTGTTTCTGTATATGTATAAAACTGTTAAGAGCAAAGAACACTTGAGGTCATCCCCTTCTCTCAATATAATTATAGTTTGTCTCAAAGAGAAGATGGACGTCATAAATCGTGTCAATTCGATTTGAAAGAAAACAAAATTCTAACCAGAGGAAGAGGATCCTATCTTGTGAACTGGCAAGATATAAACCAATACGTGACATAAACTGTTTTGATTAGCTTGTACTTTATGTAATTACCCTCTTCCTTGTCCATATATTCATATAACTACCTTCATAGGTTAGGTTTTATTGTCCAGTTGTCTATATAAGTACCATCCAACTAACTTTATTTATAAATGAAGAGTGAGTTCTTATCCAAACTAAATATTAATGAAACTCTTTGTTAACCATAAGAGGACGAAAAGATATTTTTACCTTTTATCATAACAAAAAAGCTATGTAGAGTACCGTTATTTTACAAAACAAAATTGTTTTTTTTTTTTTTTAATCTTGCCTTCAAATGATTTTATCATTTCTAAAAAAATAAAACCTTAGTCTCTCACTCTCACGTTCGCTTTCACTCCCTTCCTCTCTTCAATTTTAAAAACAAAATTTTGAGATCGAGAGAATTGGAAAGAGACAATACACAAAATAGCATCCTCAAAAAGGAGTTCCATGTAATTTAACTGCAACTGTACATCTCCAGTTTTCTTTTTAAAACAATGTGCATGCTATGAATCAGACAAATTCCATATCCTCCTACTCTTGCGTAAACACTATAATAATTAATACATATTACAAGCGCAATAGCTACAAGATAAAACAAAAATGAGCAAATAAATAAAACAGACATCCTTCTGAAGGCGCATCAATTCCCGTCCTCGGTAAATTTGTTTGCCACCCTGAAATATGGATGAATTTTCATCCTCAAGGGTGGAATTTCCACCCAAAACTATAATTACGGAATTAGTGGGCTTGTGCTTCTAGGAGTATGTTTGTTGCTACAGTGATGTCATTTCTAGCCTGCACTAGTGCCTGTCTAGCAGAGTTCCTATCAAAGCCCATAGAAACCAGAGTAGCAATGGAGTCCTCCATTGGCTCCGTTGCAGACGGAATGGAAGAGGGAATGTTTCTCTGAAACCAAACGAGAAAATTATATGACATCAAAACAGAACTACACCCAAAAAGCTTATATATCCAATAACTTGTGCAGCATAAGTAAAAGCCTAGTTTCAGTAATACATATAAGCACTCCTCTCTGTTCATTTCAATATCTAAAACTTATTTGCGCACCAATATTTTCCAACACCAAATGACATGCGTCTCATTTATATCTGCCCCAGTTTCATTCCGCCTATTTATGTTCTATCTTAGAAAACAAAAGGAACATATTTGAACAAAGAAAACTTAGCCTCAGTATCCAAAATTAATTTTACCAAAAACAACTCATCCTTGATTTGAGCCAGGACGAAATGAACATCACGTTAGTGTCTACATATATCATATTTTCAAATTACTTGAGAGTCATAATGTTATTTCTTTTCTTTTTGTCATTCATACTTTCCATGATGCCTAGTGCTATTCACAAACCCATTTTTACATCCCACACCCATATTAATGTTTGGCCATTGATCTTCTTCAATTCATTTGATCCAACGGCCAAAAATTGAGAGGTGCGTGTGAGATGTAAAAATGGGCTTCTGCACTTAAAAGAGTAGTACAAAACTGGAACCATCGCAAATGAGTCATCTCAACATCTCTTTAATTAGTGCCACTCACCAGGAGTGAAACTTTTCATCCCTAATTATATCTTACGACCGCTAGGCCATCTTAAACACGTGCCTTGCACAACATTCCATATAATAGGGTCCATAAAAACTGCCCTACCTCTAAGTTTTATATAGGTAGGTGATTTTCACTCTTTTTTTAGCTTCTCAAACACCCCTCTTTATTCTGGCCTTGAATAAATCAAACGGAAACAGCGGACAAGATCAAACAGAGATGTATGCAAAGCTAAAAAAGGCACTCAAGAACTCTAATCTCACTCACTCATGCGAAACATTCTGGTCCCGATCCCAGTTTGACTAAACCTGCATTCTATTTTAATCAGCCTTAGTCCTGCATTGTGGTGCCACCTTTAGCAAATGTTGTTCCCATAAAGTAATGTTTTGATTAGTAAGCCTTCGTCTTTCAAGGAAAATAGACTTTTGTTTACTTAAACAGAAAATAGAGATTAACTGCCCATCTAACGTGTATCTACACTATTGAAAACAGAAGAATGCTTGCCTCTACTTGCCGAGTTGTGAATGGTGGTGCATTTCCCACAACATTTCTAGATGGTGCTGCTGGCGGAGTCCCCATTGATGGCCAAGAAAGCCGTGAAAGAAAAGAAGCAACGAATTCTGGGAACTGTAAAAAGAGAGGAGACATGCACAACAATGAATTGAATTAATTAAGAAAGTCTTAAATGCAAAATAAGCAACTCTATTGACCTGATAATATTGAAGTGTTTACGTTTGTAAATGTAAGTGAGAAATAAGAAGGCTAAGTACATGCACGACCAAAGTCATATCCCGCAGAATGCGTAACTCAGCAGGCAGTCTTAATTGAATTTCTTTTAACTAAAAAGTAACTCAGCAGAATCCGAGATCGAATCATATCCCATATATACATGCATGCATACAGACAAACACATAAGTGACGCATGTACATGCACAGAGACACATGTGGACATAAATCCACCGTTCCGTGTAAAAGAATGGAAAAGTCTAAATAAATAAAAATGTAAACAATGCACTTGGTCAACTAAAAGCAATACACTAATGGAATTGCAGGAAAAAAAAATAAAAACACTGAATTTTAGTGAAATTCGTAACTGATTAAAATCCAGAGTGAATTATGTCCAAATATTGAAAAGCTGCCATATTTCACACTGAAAAATCAAAGGTTTAATAGCGCCATTGAGAACATGATTTATCGAACCTCCTTAATTCAAGAAAAGAATTTATTTTAAATAGCAGTTCGCAAATGCCAGGCTTTACTTTTCCATTGCCAAGGCCCAATCTAACTATATCTTAGAGAGTTCAGAGCGTTAAAAAATGTTAATTACTGTCTGATTGAATGCATATTTTTCCTTTTCTTTTTTCTTTTTAAGTGAACCTCAAAAGTCAGATTGAAATATAACCTTTGCTTTGCGGATACAGAAGACATTCAGATGATATAAGGAACCACAAATGATTCCAAATATCCCTGGTAAGATTGATCTTTTCCAGGATGATAAAAGAAGCTGCAAGAGAGAACAACATTTAGAATTTAGTGCCTGGGGAAAGTAAACAGCTATAGTTCTTCAACATCTATGGTTAGATGGAATACTTTGATTGCACACATTTTACCTGTAGGCCGGCTAGATATATGAAAGACTTATCCGAGAAGCGAACACCAAATACACGAAAGTGTGTTGAAACTGGAATATCAAAGAAAAAGGGTACGAAGGAGGCAAATATAAGACCATAAGGTCCAGAAGTCACTAGGTTTACTGCTGGATCTGCAAAAGACAAGGGAATTGGACGCTGTACTTTATCAGTGTAATACACAGAAAAACCAAAACAATGCTTTAACCAGGAAATCAAACAATCTGCAATATAATATTTCAACTACAAAGGGTTTTCTTTAAATTCCGTACTAATGTAAGTAACCTCTGGTATGGATTGTCTACATTGTAAAATTGAAACTTGGCACAACTTGAAGGGCCAGGTGAGCTAATCAACCAGCAGTTGGAAATGCTTGTGATTTCATCAAGCGCTGATGCTGCCACAACCCATATCAGAAGCCATGATATACAAAGTTGCACTGACTATTGTTGTAGAAAGGAAGATGACAACTACCTATTCATCCAAAATACCATGCCGTAAGACATTACAGATTCCTGTTTTCCGAATTGGCAATTTTGGAATTGAGAAACACCAAGTGAGGTTTGGAAAAGCAACAAACAAGGCATAGGGATATCTCCACGGCCCAATACTAGGCAGGTTTGCATTAGAATGGATCAGATTATACAAACCTCAACAAACATCATAAAAAGAAACTGCTCTTATGCTCTTACAGAAGGAAATAGGTTTTTCAACAGAGCTTTGCCATAGTCAATTTTTCATTAATGATTTCTAAAAGGCTTGAGATTTTCCAAAATAGTTAAAAGTACTGTCCTGTACAAATAGACAACTGCATGCAAGAAACAAGGTAACTAAGGACCAGCAGCATGGAGACAAGTAAAGAAACAAAAGGCAAGATATGATTATGAAACATAACTTTACAAATAAAAAGAATGCAAAAAACAATCCACACCTTTAAGGATTGCCAGAGCAAGGATCTCAAAGAGTAATGACACCGTTACAGTGTACAAAATGAACACCTGCACAATCAATGTAGACAGATTATTAACAGTGGAATCAACATAAATGACAAAAAGCAAAAATCAATGTTTGCATTCTGCATTGTATGATATATTGTTGAATGGTGGAAGTGAGACAACATTAGTAATTGACAACCACCAGCCGCATAGAACTATGTATCTAGGCCCACTTGAGGTATATAAAATAGCCTGTAATATATCATGTTATTAATGCACCTCAGTCAACCCTCCACACACAACTACGTATCTAGGCCATTCCATATTAGTTAACAGATCATATTTTCTCCTCCATTCACTGGAACTAGTGGTAAAATAAGTGTCCAACGTCCCATCCACCAAACCCTTGGCATATTTGGTTCACTAAAGAATGTGGTTGGGTTGTAACAGAATAATTGTTTTAAAGGTTTCTGCATTTCTGTGATGTTAGGCAACCATGAATGATGACTGATGCGGTAACAATGAAAGTAAAGGCAATGAGATGTATGGTGGTTGTGGTATGACCTCCAGACAGAATATTACAATGTTGTTGGGCAGAATTGGAATCTAAGAGGTGAAAATGTGGTGCAGCAACTGTAATTGAGTATGGAGGCCAGATCCCCATTGTGGTATAATATAAAGTGCCAAGTCACAACTGAATTCTCGGAATCTCCCTTCCTTTCATTGGTTCATGGTATTTAATTAAAAGCCACATTATAGTGAAAGTGATGAACTTGGCTTGATGCGCACCTTGGCTTTTGTTGTTTCTTAAAGGCTTTATTTGGTTGGTAATCAAATAATTTGTTTGGAAGGGGTTTAACTGTGCTATTCCCAGTCACCTACAAACATTCTTTGTTAACGTACTTGTCTTTTGGTGGTGGAATGCAAGCCTATGTTCAAATTGGGCTGTGATAGCTATTTTTTGGGTAACTTGGTTGGAGAGAAATAGAAGAATTTTTTGAAATCTATGGAAGGGGATGCAGCGGAGACTTCTGGTAAAAACCCAAAAGGTGAGGTTGTGGGCATCCTTGTGGATTCTTTTACTCCAGCTTTTAGGGATCTTTCATTTTCAGTAATTTTAGTATGTTGGCAGAGCTTCTGTAGGATAGTTTTTCGTTAGCATTGTATTACAGTGTAGAGGTGTATTTTGGATTTGTTTGTAGGTTTGTACCGTTCTGTTGGTGGAACTCTGGTCCACATGTAGGTGAATTGTGATTTTAATCTCTATAATAAAGTACTATTTTTCTCATAAAAAAAGCCTCGCTCTAAAAGAAAAATATTTCACTAACAAGCCTATGCTCTATATCTAATTTTATCAAGTGATGCAAATTGGAGAAAACTGGCGCCTTCACAAAATCCAATCAAGCCCTTCATAGTTTTTGATATGTTATAACTCATCCAACCTGGTGAAATTCTAAAAGATTTGCAATACAAAGTATGGAACCAGTTTAGTCTGTTATTTAGGCACAAGATATCAGTGATATAACATCTGAGACAGGTACTCTGAATACAGTATCAAAGGAGGTGTCGTGAATATTTTACGCCAATAGATTACTCACCGAGTACTTATTGGAACCTATTTGTCTCTCAAAGACCCTGAAGTAGTATAGCAGGTACAGCCCAAACATCAGTTCTGGTGTGGATGAAAAGGCAAATATTGACACAATTAACTTCCAAAGGCGAAACTTCCCGAATATGTCCTGACAAAAAGAAAAAGACAAATAATTTGATCAGAATTACCAATACATTTAAGAGTTCGTAGAACCTTTCACTACCTAAAAAATTTGAGATTGGGGATTTCATTCTACACAATCAACCAAGCTGAATTACAGTTGTTTGGTTTCATCTACCGATCCAAAAGTTTTGTGGATTTTCAACTCAAGACACCTGGTAATAAGATACAATGATATTATGTTCAACGGAAAGTTGAAGTAACTTAGCATCCCCAGTAGAGTTCAACGCCAATATCAAATCCCTGCTGTCTCTTTAAACTAATCCAGAAGTAGCAGGGCAAGACAGTTCAACAGAAGAGTGGAAAATCAATATCCAAATGTGACTGACAAGTGAACCGAAACTGAAAGTAAAGCACGCAGCAATTAGAAAATCCAGTTAACCCCACAAAAATCAATTCCAGTCTGAGGTATATCTATACCAACCGAAGCGAAAAACCTATCTCCAATTCAACCCAAAATCAACATCTAGTTGACTGAAAATCTATAATACCGGTGATGAATAAGTGAAGTGCTATACAGCATACGCAGTTACGAGCCAAAAACCTATAATGTTGACCATAACGTGCTGAAAAATGATGACTTACGCAGGAAACAAAACCCAAATTCAACAAAACATTTAACATCAAAATCAATAAAAAATCAGAAATAAACAATTTTGGAACAAAACCCATTTGCAATTACACCTTAATTGCAGCAATTCGTCAATATTTAACATCAATAACAAATAAATCATGGAAAAATAATACAAAATAAAAAAAGCATTAAAAAGTTAAGAAAGAGAGCACCAGATATGACAATCCAAGCTTGCTAGAACGGCCCTGGATCCCAAAGAAGACGGTGAAGAGACCGCTGGCGACGACGAAGGCTCTGGTAACAGGAGCATTGTCTGCGATAAACAAAGGACAAAGCTTCTGCGTCATGCAATACAAAGACAATCGAGAGTAGAAGGATATGAAATGTAAGAGAGGGCAAATCTGGGGAAGAGAATGTACTCACGGAAACCAGATGGGCCGCCGTTCATCTTCTCAGTGAAGCACGAAGAAGCAACAACGACCTTCACGGTTGACAACCGCAATCTGTGTTTTTAAGATTTCTCAGGCCTCTCTGTGTATTCTTCTATGTAAAAATCAAGGACATTTTTAACATAGATCTCTATTTTGATCTAACTTTGTCATTTGTCATGTAACTTAAAATCCCCTTTTATCCTTGAAATTCAAAAGGATGAATTAAAATTAGATATCTTATTTTAGATTTTTTTAATTAAATCTCTATTACTTTTCAACTTTTGATTAAAGTGCTTTTACTTTTAATTAAATTTTGTATTCTATGTGTATTCTTAATTTAAGTATTTTATAAATTCTTTTAAATCCATTTTTATGTAATAAAAAAAAAATACACTCAACAATATTCATTAATTTATTGTTATTTTTATGGAATCTCATCCCTTCCTCAATTTAAGAATTCAATTATATCTACTGGGGTTCAAGATTAATTGGATGAAATATAGTTTTTCCAATTTCCAACTCAACATTTTATATAGATTATAAAAAAACAAGAGTCATTTATAATTAAAATTAAGATGTAGCTTTTTGGATTACACAACTTACACATAACGTACCATAAGTTTTGTACGTACCAAAATAAGGATAATATAACGTACTAATAACTTGGTACATACTAAATAAAGAATTGCATAACGTACCAAAAGCAATATTTTATAACGTACCAAAATACTAAACGTACCCGGATTAAATTTATATAACGTACTAATAATGTACCAAATGATTAGTATGTTATATATTAATATATCTGTTTGGTACGTTATATTTAATATATGTGCATGTTATATTTCATAATTGTATGTTAATAGAATGTTTATGTGTTTTTAGAATTTAAAACAACAAATTATTTGAATAAAAAAAATTCATTTTGAACAAATTATGATAAGATAAGATAAGATGTTTATGGTGATTTTAGAATATTTGTAATATTATTTTCTGAACTAGTTGGTTAATTAAATACAATAAAAATCATAATTTTTGATTAAAAATTAGTAGAAGAATGTTTGATCAAAAGTTTAAAAGCTATAGATGTTTGATTAAAAAAATTCAAATTTGAGGCATCTATGTGACAGCTCGTTCCGGATTTTCGAACCGTAGGGGTGAAATGATGATTTTGCCCCTAGCATGGTTGTTTCGTTGTCTGGTTGTTTTTGGATTTTTGTTGGCAGGTTTTGGACCACACACACTCCCCCACATGTAACATCCCACATCGCCCAGGGGAGTGATCCTTAAATATATATTCTCATCCCTACCTAGCACGAGGCCTTTTGGGAGCCCATTGGCTTCGGGTTCCTTTGGAACTCCGAAGTTAAACGAGTAGCGCGCGAGAGCAATCCCATGATGTGTGACCCACTGGGAAGTTGCTCGTGAGTTCCCAAAAACAAAACCGTGAGGGAATGGTAAGCCCAAAGCGGACAATATCGTGCTACGGTGGTGGAGTGGGCCCGGGAAGTGATCCCCCTTGGTCGGGATGTGACAAATTGGTATCAGAGCCTAACCCTAGTTGCGTGTGTGCCGACGAGGACGTCGGGCCCCTAAGGGGGGTGGATTGTAACATCCCACATCGCCCAGGGGAGTGATCCTTAAATATATATTCTCATCCCTACCTAACACGAGGCCTTTTGGGAGCTCACTGGCTTCGGGTTCCTTTGGAACTCTGAAGTTAAGCAAGTAGCGCGCGAGAGCAATCCCATGATGGGTGACCCACTGGGAAGTTGCTCGTGAGTTCCCAAAAACAAAACCGTGAGGGAATGGTAAACTCAAAGTGGACAATATCGTGCTACGGTGGTGGAGTGGGCCCGGGAAGTGATCCCCCACGGGCCGGGATGTGACACCACACCCCCTCACCCTTTTCCCTGCCCTGCATCCCTGTCCCGAGCCCTGTCTCTCTCCCATTTCTATCCCCATTTGTACGGACACACCCCAAAACCCTCCAAACCTTCACAGATCGAGGAAACAAAGTACATATTCATGCTCGTGAGATCCGTAGGAGTTCAACCATACCCATTTCAGGTAAGGATACCTTCGTTTTCACGTCGAACTCGAGATACCCCGGTTTGGTCACTGTTCATGCACACGTTAATTCTTGTGTTTTTTGGGATTTTGAAGCTGTATGAAGCTTGGTGAGGTCCTTAGGAGGCTCGGGGTGGCTCGTTTGAAGGTTTTGGACGTCGGGATCGTGAGTTTCAAGCTTGGCCGGAGTTGGTGGTGTTTTCCTGGCAAGATTTTGTGGATTTTAGTGCTTGAAAGTGGTATGGATTTGTTCCTCTTGTTGTAAGCTTCATTTTGGTACCAATTTTGTGAAATTTGGTTGAAAAACGAAGAAGATATGAAGTTTTGAAATTTTCCTCGATTTTCCGGTGTCGGCGACGGCACCGGAGTTTCACCGGAGAAGACGACGGAATATTCCGTCAGTTTAGACAGAATATTCCTAACAGCGTTAACGGATTCCGTTAAAGTTACCGGAATATTCCTGACGGCGTTAATTGACGCCGTCAGTGTGCCAGGCACATGCCTGCGCGTGGCCGGCGCGCGGCGGTGGAAAATTTTTCTAAAAATATGGGGATGTTCCTGAGGTTGAGTAGATCACGTTGGTGTATTCATACACCCCATTTGAGCATTGCATGATAAGTTATTTCATAAGGATGGTTATGTATTTTAAAATTAACGTTTTTATAGTTGTTTCGCATATAGGTGAGACTTATCCCGAGGACGAGCGTGGTCACTCGAGGCAAAGGGGTTACGACCCTTCTATATACCAATGAGTGGGCTTTTGGTTTTCCATATATACCTATATACTTATACTTTTCCCAAAAAGTGAAATGAAACGTTTATACGTTTATATGCCATGTTTATTGTTTGCCATTTATTTTACGCATTATTAGTTGTACATGTATATATATGCTTGGTGCTGCGGACGCACAGGTAAGTGCCAGGTGAGTTATGATTTATGTTCATGTTCAGTAGAGTTTTGAGATGCATAAAGAGCTCATAACCTACACCTCCAGTATTAGTGCTCCCGTTAGGTGCACAGTCCTGTCGTACAAACCACTTTAGGTGGTTCCGACTCGTAGGTGACTCGCGATTCGTCGCCCAGCCATCACGTGATCGTAGCACTTGAGTGTACTTATATTACACCCAGTCCTGTTGTACATACCACTCTAAGTAGTTCCGACTCGTGTGCAGGTATAGTTAGTGAGATGGAGATTGAGCTCTAGATTCAGCCGTACAGGTCACGTTAGGTGACTTCGGCTGACAGATTTCATGGCATTGATTTGATATGTACCGAGCACTTGCATTTTATTTAGAGGCAGTTGACATGGCATATTTCCGAGCATGATTTATATATATGTATATTATGTTTCTAGAAAGTATACAGGTTTTAAGGCGAGGGATTAGAATCTTGTTTTTGAAAAGTTTTGTTTTTACCCACTCACACTTTTGTATTGTGCCCCTCCAGGTTCTAGTTGGCTAGCATTCTTGGTGGCTCCCTAGAAGATTTCCCCGGCATATCTGACAGATTATCACCAGTGTAAGACCACCTTCGGGTGTGTTCACGTAGTGTTGTTTCTCCTGGACTGCATTAGGTCTTCGTGCTCTGAACTTTGTTTTCACACTTACGCTTGCACATGTATGTTATTACTTTGTGTAAAGTGATAGGAGCATATTCATGCGACTTAAATGGCTTGTTCTCGTGCATTTACGTTATGTTTCTTTAGTTATTTTAGTCCTTTATGCTTCTTTTGTGTGTTTTCAGGTTCTAAGGGCAAAGTATGCAAAATGATGCATTTTGGTGCCTTTTAGAGCAAATTAGAGATTGGAATGAATATCATATGCTTAAAGCCAAGTAGATGGACGAAATTGAAGACCAAAGGAGGCTAGGAATAAATAAAGAGATGAAGAAATGAAAATGAAGAACAAAGAGTTCACATTCACCACCAATTCAACACATGCAGCCATTCACCCCTTTTCTATCCCTTGTGCCGTGCATCCTCTCACCAAGAAATCATTCATTCCACATGCATTCATCAACATATCTAGCTGTCACTCACATGCATTTCCTTCATCATTTCCAACCCACATGCACCCAGAAATTATCCTTTGCCGTGCATCCAATACACACCATTCACCCTAGATTCTAATCAGCCACATATTAACCCACATGCACTTTAATCATTCAATCACACATCCCCCATTCACCCTTTGCCGTGCACTCCCATCCCATTTCAGATTGCATTCCAATCATTCCAGCCAAGCCACATGCACTCCCTTTAATTTATTCAACCTAGCTGTCAAAGCACATGCACATTCACCCTAATCATTCACATACACAATCTGCCATCATTCACACATTCAATCTCTCCCAAAGCCGTGTACTTCCCCCTTCATTCCACCTAAGCCACATGCACTCCCATCCATTTCATCATTGCAGCCACATATAGCTTTAATTCACATGCAAACACATTCATTCCAGCCATGCACATTCACCTTGCATTTCCAGGTTGTCCACTTCATCCTTGCAGCCATTCCACATGCATTTCAACTCACATGCACTCATCATCATAACCTAGCTGTCATTCCACTTCATTGCACATGCATTCACTTAACCTAGCTGTCATGTTCCCTCTCCCATCCATTCATCTCCCTATAAAAACCATACACACTTCACACAACATTCATACACTCTTCCATTTCAGAAAATCATCCATACACACCAACTTGTGCCGTGAGTTCCCTACTAATCCAAACACCACCAGAAATTCAGCCATTCACCACTCCCTATCCTACCACCCCACTCCATTCTACATCATCCATAATCCCCAAAATTCACCTTAGACCTTGTGCTACAACAAAAAGGAAGAGAAGCGGGCCTAAACGTTCATACAATTCAAGTTTGAGTTGTTGGAATGTTTAGGTGTTTCTTTTCCTTTGAATTCAATGTTTAAATTCAATTCTCTTTGTTTTGTACGTATGAGGAACTAAACCCCCCCTTGGCTAGGGGGGGATTCGAAATATATGTTTATGCTTGCATTTTGATTTGATTACTTCTAATTGCGTTTCATAAGTTGTGGATTCAATTTGTTTAACTGTTTGATTGATA